AGGATAGGATAGGATAGGATAGGATATTTCAGTTTCTCATGAATAAGGGCCTGATACATTAACTGAGCTTTCAAACACATGTTAATTTGAAAGCTTTTTAGATAACTGCAGCAGGTTGAGCACTCTGGGAGCTGCGGGAAACACTGAGCCCAAGCCACAGCTCAGAGCCTCCAAAAAGACCCTAGATTTGCTTTTACTTCCTCTTTTAATTACCATCAGAAATGGCTTATTAATGATTTACTTGGAAATTAAAAACCTTCTGAAAGGCAAGTTTCTGTACATCGGGAGAATTTCCTTCTATCCTGGAAGAAAGAAGATTTAAGTAAGTTTAAAGATTAAAAAGAAAAATCTTAACTTTTGGAAACAGCAAAAGGGAGTTAAGAATGCTGATTGGTGACAGTTAAGGGGCCAAATGGATTTGAAAGATTTTTTTTTTAATGGACTGTTTTAAATGTATAAATATAGAGCAGATGATTTTGTACTTAATTTTAAGAAAACTTATTGTGAAAAAGTTTTGGCTTTGAAAATAAACAAAAGATAAGACTGGGCTTTGAAGGTTAACTAGAGGAATCAGTGAGCAATTAAAGGAGAAGATACATCCTAACATAATGGAGGAACAGTGTCTTTCTACAGAAGAATTTAAATCTGTTTGGGAACAATGTGTTCGCTACTTATTTTTAAAATTGGATCTAAGAGAGTTTATAGAAGAAGAAAAGATTCTACTGGAAAAAAACAGAAGCCGGGGATGATTTGAATAAGGAGTTTAAAATAGACTTTAAAGAAATGCCAGATTATAAAAGAGATGTGGAAGATATGGAAAAAGATGCCGTGGATCTGAAAATAAACTTAAAGATATTGGATTACGAAAGTGACATGGAGAAAGAAGTTGTAATGGATATACAAACTATGCTGGCTGATTTTTTTAACAATTAAAGGAGATATCCAGATTATAAATCAGAAGAGTGAGTTGGAGAGTTATTTTACTTTGGATCCACAGAAGGGAAGTGGTAAATCTCTGAAGTTGCTTCTGAAAACAGACAGGGAGAAAATGATAAGAAATCACTATGTCAGACTTCATTTGAAGAAGCAACTGAAGATTAAGCCTCTTAAAAAGAAGAAAAAGGAATTCAAAGTGGATTTATTTGACCAGGGTTAAACTGTATAAGTTTTGATTTTGGGTGACTATTACTGGAATCTTTTTTCTGATCCAGATTGCAAGATGATGTAAAGATTATTTTATATATGGATGAATCTTTTATTTCCTATTTGTTAGAGAAAGTTAGGAGTTAGTATATAAAAGGGACCTATTGAATGAATGAATGAATGAATGAATGAATGAATGAATGAATG